AATTGAAGTGGAATACTTGTGAACAGTGATTTCACATCAAATGACACTAGTTTGTAGTCGTCAGGTATCTGAACAGTCTTGGTAGCGTTAATGAAGTCTTCAGTGGATTGTAGTTTATGTCTGGATTTGTCGGTTAGCGGTTGTAGTATTGTCGTCAGGTACTTGGATAGTTGGTATGTGGGAGAGCCACAGAAAGAAACAATAGGTCGCATCGGGAAACCAGGTTTGTGTAGTTTCGGCAAACCGTAGAGTTTCGGTGGCTGTGGTACCGAGCACCTCAGTCGATAGTACCGTTGGGTGTCAAAGGCGTTCGTTTTCTTGAGTGTCAGTAGTTTACTGTTGAGTTTACGTTGAAGTGCAGGAGTTGGGTACTCCAACTCCTGCACTGGAAACAAGACTTAAACAATCAGTTACACCTCAACGCAAACGGAACTAAACGGGTCTAAAGAAACTGGACAAACCTGGTTTTCTAATGCAACCGACACTGAGTTTCGCTCCATGGTTCCCCCTGCACAAACTACATTCCGCCAACGACTTTACGACGCCATCAAGACTCTGACTGGACAGTTACATGACGACTACAAACTAATGTGTCTTTTTGTGAAATGTTAACCACTGTTTCACTTCAATTGGCATTACAATCTTGTTTCACAGTCGGGGAGAGAAATTTTTCTTTAAAAAACAAATCATTTTTGTGGTTTGTTGCCTGCTGCTCCATTATTATTTTTGGTATTGAGAGTGGCTTTGATTTCTGTCTTCTGTGACAAAACCTCAACATGACTAGTTCTAAGATGTATTATTTGAATTAAACCTCCAGCAACTGAAACTGCTTTCTTCTCCTCCTTTTTCTCTACTTTATTAATAATGTATAGGACAATAGAATGCGATCGTGAAAACAAATTCCACCTTCAAAGACGTGGGCTTTCACTTTTCCCGTTATCCACCCTCATTTCACATTATCTATCAAGTTCTAATCTCCTTTCCTCGCCGTATAATTTTCTTTCCGGAAAGTCTAAATGCAGACGCTGTTCTTAAAACAGTAGGATATCAGTAAAGAAAATTCATGTAAGGGCTCAACGCAATGGGTAAAATAGGAATGACATTTGCTTAGCTCAAGAGAGCATCGACTGACCCTCTCTTCCATGTGTTTTTTCCCAATACACCTGATGAAAATGTGGTCTCTTGTGCGCTTTTCGACGATGGAATATGAAGCCATCTTCTCTCTCGCGAGCTTGTTTATAATGGAGGGTAGAAAGAACTTCCGAGCGACTGAGAAATAAGTAGTTATATTCAAGATTTCGGCCTTTTACCGAGTTTCCTGGTTTCCTGTCTCCTCTATTACCCATCTATAACAAGATGATTAGTAATAATGATGACAATTATGATAATGAATATTAAAAATGCAATCATCAAATCTTTCATAATGATAATAATCTTAATAGACCACTCACCATGGAGGCCTGTCAATAAACATAAACTAGTTAAAATTCTCAAAAGGCACGAGGTAGACCAGTGCATTAGTCACAGAGCGCAGCCCTGGAGGGTGAACTGATTGGAGGCAAGTGAGAATTGGAAGGAATACAATGATTAATGGGGTGCAAACCTGGATCTAGGACCACCGGAATTTAAGTCCGCCATCGCACTATGAGAACTCGGTCACAAACATAAGGAGCCAATTTTACAAAAATAAAGATGAAATTTATTCACAAGTAAGTTCATATATGCATATGAAACCTTGAGTGATACACTTCAAGTAAGATCACAACCTTTAGCATGCAAGGTTGTCAACATATAGAGTGCTAACATTCATCCTGTCACGCTAACATAAACCTCTAACGAACATAGTCTAGAACAATCATTATAAAGACTTTTATACCATAAAATATCACGCGCTCTGCTGATGGTCATTATCTTTGATTTATTAAAGCACAGCTGACGTCACACCGTTTTTTCCAAATTGTCCACCATGATACACGGTTTAAAAACAAGCAGTTTCCGAGATAAATTCCGGTCTAGCAAGAGACGACTTCGCCGGAAAACTGATTGACCAGGAGCCGCTTGTGAGCAAGAAGAAGTGACTGGTTTCCAAACAGTATGAAAAAAACAAAAAAAAACAAATCAGAAACATAACAGATAGATAAATTTGATTTTTCCGCGTGTCTGATCAGAAGATGTCAAAATGTGTTAAACTAAATGAGACACTCGCTAAAGACGCGTGTACTAATTTCTTACCGTATCGTGACGTCATCTGTAGCCTCAACTGAACAAATATAGAGAAATTAAATCTAACTTTTTAATATAGCACTTAACTAAGTCTAATAGAGTTGTGCCTTTTCATTTTAAGCTACTGGGAGCCGATTTTGATGCCAATGAAAAGATTCCATGGCCTAATATCTATGTTACCTAAAAATGTTTCTACTAAATTTACGTCTGTGTGCCTTTGACCTTACGTGAACAACAAACCACCGACTAAGAAAATGCTACAAAAGCAATGCCAAAAAAGTTGATCGTAATGCAGTATAATTCAAGGGTGTTGAGAGGCCCTTTTGTAGAAAACTGTATGAAAGCAGGTAGCGTCTGTCTCAACATGCTTCTCAATAATCTAAATTGTTTAAGATGATAGAGAAAATTTACCTTGTTTGTAAGAGACAGAAAATGAGCCTTATATAGCGTGGTCAGCGTACTAACATTGCGGGCGCTTTTACCACCAAGCACATGCTTTTAATAGTATTGTGTTGTAATCGTTTTCTTAAGGACGAGTTTTGCTTGTTGTTAAAGCACAATAACTTCGAATCCTCTCATTTCTAGGAGTCTCGAATGAGATGAATACAAGTTTGTGCAAGTTAAGAAGCAATGCCGACTACACCTCCACAAGCAATGCTTAATTAAAGGTTTGTTATTTCAAGTAGCCAAGAGTGGACGCTGCATTGTTTTTGGACAAAAGGCAAAAGGCAAAAGGCAAAAGTAGTCCCAATAAACGGCGAGGGGAAAACAAAGGAAAAAGAAATCGGTTATCTTCTTAGTTCCTAGTTTATTCTTCTTTTCCCACTCACTGTGTTTCAAATACGGGTGAAAAACAAAAACTACACTATTTCGCAGAACCACTAATTGTCTTAACATTGAGTTACTAGGTCATTCAGGTTCACTTCTATGTCTTATATACCTAAGAGAAGGTCAAATTTAGTACCAGTATCATTAATTTTGATCTGAAATTTTTCCCTGCTAGGTTCATTTCAAGTTTTCCCTCTTGACAAGCATATAACACAAAACTCATTCTGAGCTGACTTTATCTAGACCTTCCCAACCACCTAGGTCAACTTGAAACATTTCCTCAGGTGGAATTCTTATCCCACTGTCGACTGGAAATTTATTGATTATGAAATACACCCTCCCCTCTATTTCCACTGCGCCCAAGTCGTTTGGGGGAATATGTTTCTGAGGCACTACGGACCAGGTGTTAGTACCTTCATGATACACTTCCACAGGCGCAGGGTCGCCACGACCCTTACAAATCTTTCCCCCTGCCACACAAATTCTGTCATTGACAACAAAAAGACTGGATTCAAAATGAGGAAGGCAGGTTGACGCAATTTTTGTCCACACATTGTAATTTGGGTCGAAACAGTGTACCACAGCTGGTTTATCGACCCACGATTCGTGGTTTTGGCGATCTTTTTCGATTTTTCTATAACCATGAATTACATATACTCTAGAGCTCATTACTGCCGCTGAAACAGTACTTAACTCTTCCCTCCTTTGTGGCTCTCCTCTACCTACCGGTCTAATGAAATTCAACCCCTCTCCCCCTTGCGAACTGTTATCTGTCAAACTGTACCTTTGAGGGGGATTTGATTCACTAATAGCGTAAATATAGTCACCGATAGAACACAAGCTGTCAATTTCGTGGTTTTTTCCGTAATTTGGTAGTTTAACCCATGAGTTATTTACCACATCATATCGATGTATAACATTATCACTTTCCTGGTTTATTTCACCTAATAATAAGCCTTTTATATCCTCATTTTTCTGCTTTTGTCCAGCTACAAATAAGTAGTTTCCACTGCGTTCAGCACATAAGCAAGAGGTAGTTTTCTCACGTAATTGTGCTACAGATGGCAAAGGTTTCCATAGCGGCTTCGCTTCGACATCAAAGTAATGAGCCATACACTGCGGCGCTGGTGGAAGCCCCAAAAAGCATACACACTGAAGACGTCTTCGTCCTGAACGGCATCGGGAAGCTGTATACAGTACGTAGGGTGAATGGCAACGAGTACCTGAAACAAGAGATAATCACTTAAAAATTCCTCTTTTCAGCTGACAGTCTAGAAATTTTTTTTGCAAAGAAGGTATTTAGTTTTAGGTTATATCTATAATAGAGTAGATATATATGTATACATATGTAAAACATGTAATATAATAAAGCAGATGGTTGATTTTTTGGGCATCTATATTTCTACTGAAATAGTTTTAATCGATCACGGTACGGACAACATAGCAGTCCCTGGCTTATTGTTAATAACTGGTGAGAGCACTCGCCTCCCACCCAATGTGGCCCGGGTTCGATTCCCGGACCCGACGCCATAAGTGGGTTGAGTTTGTGTTGGTTCTTTTCTCTGCTTCGAGGGTTTTTCTCCGGGTTCTCCGGTTTTCCTCCCTCACCAAAAACCAACATACAGCTGATTCCAGCTGGCTGTAAGCTGTGCTCCAAGATCACACATGGACCGTATAGCGGCTGCTAGAGGCGCCATTGTAAGCTTTCGGTTCGACCTTGTTGAGCTGCGTCGTTGCTGTACTTTGCGACGACGATTAGCAGTGAATGTTATTATTATTATTATTATTATTATTATTATTATTATTATTATTATTATTAACTGTAGATTCCCCGGGCAGGAAACATGCTCTCTTGATCGAGATATTGATAATTGAATGATTATCGTTGATAATCATCTAACCTTGTCGCTGATATGGTTAAGAACAACGAATCGACATATGAATTGTGTTCCAAAAATTTGGAAACTTGGAGCCAGTTCTTGTAAAACGGAGTGTAGTGCGAGGAATCAAGTGAGATTGTAACAAAAACCGAGTTGTAAATAAAGGAAGTAACTACAGAGCTCAGCTTTTAACTCACCGGACTCATTGATCGAGGTTTAACTTTCTCAGCGGCAAACTCATGAGAAGGCATGATGTGATGCATCACTTCCTGGTTTGCTTCCTTCCCATCAGTAAGTATGGAGTGGAAATAATCACTGTACGAAGCGAGTACAACTCGGTGAGCTGGGAAAAGCGTATCACCTATTTTCAAACGTACTTCGATAAGTTCACCTTCTTTACGGAACTCGGAACACTTAGAGAGAAGAATTCTGGAATGGGCTACCATCTTTGTGCTGTTTCAACGCGAAGATATCTGCTTGTAAAAACTTCGAAGCAAACCAGAATGTCTTTGTACTCTGTTCACGTGACCTCCCACTGAAACTACGCTAATTTCCAAATATCGTGCTTGCTTAGTAACGTGTGATGTTAGCTAGTAATACAAAGGTTAACTTGCAAAGATATCGATATCGAGGTCACTGTAGAGGCATAAGCCCAACAGCCAACTTTTCGCAATTACTGAGGTTTGAGGAAAAAGGAAAAAATAATTCTGGAAGAAGACGGTATGTGTTGTTTTCGACATCAAAATACTGCTCGAAGCAGAACTGCGATGAGAGCATGAAATACATGTAAGAAAAAAAAAACTACACTCAGTTTAAAATTTGTTAACATCCCTTTTCTGGACAATAAAGAAAAGAGGTTACAACGACAAAATTGAACAAATTCATCCACTTGGTCAATAATCATAATAATGCGCTATTCTAGCCCGTTAATGCCGGGAAAAGTTTTTACTTCTCAGTTGGAACCAACGTGGTGGATCGCAAATGTTAAGCGGAGCTTTTCACTTACTTGATGAGAGAGAGACGGTACTCTGAAGATCTGCCATTGATCATGCTCAAACGCCTTGCGTGACCAAATATCAACCATTGTCAAGTGAACAACTTAAAGGGACGGAGTGGGAGAGGAAAGGGTTGAATTTCACAAGAGAGATGATATAAATATTTCAGGGAAGTTAAAATTTTGAACGAACGATGTCCCTTTTAAGCAGAGAGGGGAAACATCTGTCTTTTTGCTTTGACAATTCTTAAAATAAGCAGATTGCGCAAACATGGCAGATGAAAGAGTTTTTATTTTTATGTTTGAGAACAGACAAAAAGGGAGAAGTTATAGCTAAGAGAACTCCTGCAAGATAAAAAAATATCGACCCACCATTTATTTTTTTCCTTTTTAACGTCTAGTAAGCCAAATACAAAACCTCTTCTCGAAAAGCTCGTAACTTTATTAGGAAAAAAATTAATATTACAGGATACAATAAAATCAGTCAGAGTGTTTCAGTACCCATACTCATTTTACTTCTTCCAGTTTTGAGCTTTTATACTTCGTACGCGTTTATGAAAAGTACCTAAGAAAATCAATGTACCTTTTTATACAGCAATAGAATGAGCCATAATCATACTGTACATTTCTATTTAGTGACTACTCCTCGCCTATTTCAATAACATCCAAGAAAATTTAATCAACTGATGTATTTTATTGAAAGTCAAGATCATTGTTGTAATTGCCATACCTGGAGCTGCTGGAATGCACAAAACCTCAAATATGTGACTACTTTGAG